TACCAGGTCATGGGGTCCAAAGGTGGTCTGGAGCTCTATAACAAACTCTTTCCACAAGTCCATCCAGTAGGGGTGGTCCTCTGGGTCTTCAGTCCTAAGTAGGTCTGGTTCAAACCACTCAAGAGCCTTCCCTTTCAGGAATGACTGTGCAAAGGTGACCTTAGCCTGGTCACTTTGAAAGGCCCAGGGCCAGTCCTGGAAGTTGAGCTCACAGTGGATAAGGAAAGTGCACAGCTTCTTTGGGTCTGTCCCATTGAAGGTGTCTGGTTCATGCAAAATGGTTCTGGAAGAGGATTCAGAGCCAGTGTGGGCATTGCATGTGAGGAGCTTGATGGCTTTGGCAAGATTATCAAGCATGGTTACACCAGGCTTGACATCTTCCTCTGGGAGGGGTTCTTCATTGTCATTGTCCAGTTCATCTCCCGGCCCATCATCACCAGGACCATCATCACCAGGACCATCATCACCAGGATCATTACCACCAGGATTGAAGTCATCTGGTTCATCTGGGTCTGGTTCATCATCCAGATCACTAGTGGGTGCAGGAGGTTGATTAGGAGTGGGAGTGGTGGATTTACAGGCTGAGAAACCCCTGAAGTTGTTGACTTCACTGGGCAGCCTTCTGGCTGTTCCTAAGGATACCAGGGCAGCAGTGTGGTGCAAGTCAACCACTGAGGTGGAATCTGGGTTGGTGGTAGCACATGCCCATGCTGCTTGAGTTCTGGTTTGAGTAGGCATGCTGAGGGTGTGATACTGAGGTTTAAACAGAAGGGTGGTGACCCACACAAGTGTGAGTCTGAAATACTGTTAAGTCCAGGTCTTCACTGGTCCAAGGCTGATCTGGAGTCCAGTTGGGGGTCAAGAGGTAATATGAGATACTAGAGGTTTTTGGACTGTTGGACTTAGTGACTGATGGCGCAGCACTATTCCCTTGTGTGGGCCATAGTCCAGTTGAGGGGCAGAGAACAGGGAGACAGGAGACTGGGTTAAGATGCAACTAGGTTGATTTCAGACTGAGGCTAAAACAGATTATCCTATGGCTTAAATACTAGAAGTAACCTAAGTGTAATGTAGCACTGGAGACCAGTCTGTGCCAGTACAGCAATGACTGGTAAACAGATTGGTAAGTAGTGTTACAAAGAATATTATCAAGCAGGACTATGAACAAAGGATTACCAGGAACTGGGGCAGGACTTGTGGCTGGGCCAGGTATTACACTGGCCCAGTACTAACTGAGCATACAACTTGATTGGGCACTGCCTTGCAGTACCTCACAAGCTAGCACATTTCTGGGTTGAAGGGTTAAGGCCAGGACCAGGGCAATGGTTGGACAAGACCAGTCAAGACTAGGGTAGAGCTGGTCTAGGGTAGTCTGGGCATGGTCATGACATTGACAAACTTCCCTTCAGCTATGGCATCCATACTGTACAATGTACCCACTGGAATACCCTCACCTGATTTTACTTTCCTCTCCTCCACTCAGACCATACTAAACCCCTCTGCTATGGCTGCTTTTGACAGCATTTACCAACTAGACTCCATGGTTCACACTCTTGTTTATAAGCCAGTTGCCAAGAAGGTTTGGACAGTAGCTGCCCCAATGGCAGAAGAATACTGCATCATGCACAGCCTGCCTGATGATCTGTTCACTGGTCTCCAACCACTTCCAACACATCCACCAGACTTTGCCCCAGGCATCTGCTTCACTGCCAAATGGGCCACAGAGCTTGATCTTGACCCTGCAGACTGGCTTTGGCCAGAGGAATTTAAACTCATGACTTGGCTCATTTTGGTCCACAAGCCTGCATTCACTTGGGACATTACAGAGTGTGGACACCTAGATGAACACTATTTCCCACCTGTAAAGATCCCCACAATCCTGCACATGCCTTGGGTCCAGTGCAATATCCCTATTCCAAGTGTGATACATGCCCAAGTCATTGACATGATTAAAGATCACATCAAGTCTGGCATGTACAAACCTTCTACAGCAGCTTACCACTGTAGGAATAGGTAATTGATAGAACCTAGAATTAGTAATTATCAGTAGATGGGCAAGTATACTGCTCAACCCAAAAGGGAGATTCTGTCTCAGAGAAAAGAAGTGTAGTAAAAGTGTAAAAAATGTGAACTCATCAGTAAATCACTTTTGCTGGCCAGAGCTGTCCAGAGCTGTCCAGCACTGGACAGATTCCCTAGGACTGCCAGCACACAAAGTGGTTTACTGATGCTGGAAAGACTACTTAGCTCTGTTTGTTCAATACCTCTTGCCAGTCCTCCTGGCCCTGTGGGTACTCCCCAAAGTAATAATTCTAACTTCAAAAACTTGCCAAAATGCAAGACTATATCACCCTACTACTGAGGGCCTCTGACATGGATTGGGTGTGGTAAACTGAACTCACACAAACACTGCATGCATGCTTAGTCAGCAATGCAGCTGCTCACCACCAAGTCCAGTGGTACAAACACAAAAGCAAAAGCAAGAAACAAAAACATGAGTCCCCCAACCCCTATTTTCTTCCAACCAAGACAACTTCTCCTAGGGAACTCAAACCCATTCCCTACATCTGAGGGGTGGTTTAGAATTTGACTGTCCCTGGTCACTCTCCTCCTCACATGAACATCCTTGCCCTTGCACCTGCTCCCCTCAACCTCACTATGCCTCATTGCTCTTGAACTCTTCGACTTCACCACATATCCTCCATCCTCAAACTCCCTCGACTCTGCCCACAAAAACACCACCTGGCCTTGAACATACACTCTGCCTCTCAAACACTCCCCTCACAACCTAATTCGGACCAAACAACAATGGAGATAAACTCCAGGCACACGAACAAGTGAGTAATAAATCGAGTGCGGAGCAAGTCGAAGACTGGTCCTCGAGGCGCAGTCTCTGTGCGAAATGGTAACATGGTGTGACACAGCACTGCAGCTGGAATGGCAGACATTTGCCCTTCACGAGGCAGTTCGAAGACATATGTACCTAAAAAAAACTCTCGCTCAGTCATGTATTTACCGCCCTTATACGCATATGTGCTCTCGACTCCTGCTCGTCCTTAAGACGATCTAGCACATAAAAAAAAGTGAAAGAACACTGAAACTACATGTCAGGGTGAGTAGAGTCACCCAAAGACTAGCGCGACTTGGTTGAACGACGTCACACAAAGCTAGACTGGTATTAAGGGAATCTATATATTGATACACTCACTGGGACCTTCTCTATACTGTCCTCTTCATTCTCATACCCTCAACTCTCTGCGTGCATGTGCACTCGATCCCTTGTACCTCATCTGGTACTTCGTCTGGTGGGTAAAACCCTTGCACTAAGTGTCGCCGAGTGACCTTGAGTTGCCCATCTTCGTTCACTACTTTTTCACTGCTAGAAATAAAGTATCTCAACGTAGCATATGTTTGAACTCTAACAAAACCTGTCACCTTAGATCTGTAGATTCTCGAGCCTGCTTCAAAGATAGGTCTTCGACTCCAATGGGTGCTGGCACTAACTTCACTCGATCTTGGTTGTTGGCCTTCGACCTCGCAGTCAGGCAGATGAAACCTTGACGCTAAGTACCGACGAACAGCTTCGAGCCATCCATCCCTGTCGATCGCTTTTTCCTTCATGCCAGGGTACCTGTTCCTCACAGTAGATAATGTTCGAATTAAAACCGAAAAGGGCACCTGTGAACCTGCGCCGCCTTCTTTTTCTTCAGATATCAGCAGCCGCACTTCGACTTTGTCGAGTACCTTAGTCCTGTAGATTTGTGAGTAGAACATCATGAAAACAAAAGACATAAACGAGTGCTCAGGCTCGGTGCATGAACTCATGTCGCTTGGTACGCTCCGTGCATGTCGTCGTCGATCTGTCAGGCATTCCCTCATTGCGAACTTCGATGCATGGCTGCACTGCTTGTCTACCTGAAACCCATTGTCGGGTACCCCTCCACTGTATCCTGCTCGCTCACCCCACTCATAGTAGCACCATCGTATCACATCGCATATCTTCGCACTGACTCTCCATTGTCTCTTCTCGTAGGTTGCTGTGGTATCTCATATAGTGATCGCTGGAACACTGGTCACGTCTCATTGTAGATAACTGTTCTCCCTATATAAACCTAGGTGTAAGTAAAGCATCCTGAAGTAAAAACGAAATGCCGAGCTGTTGAGCTCACTCTGCATGACCCCAATGTCTCTTGCATGTTGCGCGTGCTCTCGTATCCTCAATGGTCGCAGTCGTGGTTCCAACAGGAGTCTTGGTACTCGTTCTGCAGTATGTTCGCATGTCTTTTGTTTCGTAGCCTGTCGTGGATTCCCACGCTGCAATCACACTTCGTCATAGATATCTGTCTGCCCTAGAATAACAAGGATTTAAGTAAAGCGTCCTAAAACCAAACTGAAACCTCAAGCCATTGAGCTCTGCATCCATGCCCGATGTGCTTTGCCTCCATCGAATGGCCATTGTGGCCTCGTGCAGCTGTCAATCTGTGTCAAGTCTTGTCGTTGTTGTCATTGCTTGTGTCGTTGTCGCTCTCGTTGCCGCTGCTGTCCTTTCCTGTACCATGATCTTCCAGACATTGCTTGCATGTCGTTGTGTACATCTGTTTTCCCTCGCATAGAGCAGATGTAAGTACAGTGTTCCGAAATCAAAATGAACCTGTAAGCCGTCGTGCTCAGCATCTGCACTCTTCACGCCTCGTCTTTGCCAAACAGCTGTTCTAGCCTCACACGGCCATCGTGTCACATCAAGCACTGTCATCATTGTTCTTTGTATCGTGATCGCCCAGATGTCAGTCACTCTTCATCGAATATCGCCATTTCCCCTAGAATAGAGTATCTTTAAGTAAAACACTATGGAATCGACACAGAACCTTGGGCCATCGAGCCCAGTACCAATGCTCGTCATGCCTTGTTCCTATCGAACGACATCTCCCATCTCGCCCAGCTGTTGATCTGCAGTAAGTCTGATTGTTGTCGTCGTTCCTTGTATCGCGATTATTGTCCTTTGTAGATATCTGTCTTCCCTAGAATAACGAAGATGTGAGTAAGATATCATAGGACCAAAACATAACCTCGAGCATTCGAGCTTGGTGGTCTTCATCGTGCATCATTCCCTTTGGACGGCTGTCCCTGCCTCGCATAGCCTTCGGTCTGTGCCAAGCACTGCTTCCATCATTTGTGCTCCAACCATTGTTGTCACTGTTGTCCTTGTCATCGTCGCATTCGCTCTCTGTGATTGTAGCTTCCAGATGATACCCTGTAAAAAGTGATACTCCCTAAAACGACGTAGCTGTAAGTAAAACGGCTCAAAGGAAAAACTAAGACTCGGGCCTTGGAGCCCACTCAGTGTGGTCTCTACACTCCTTGCATGTTGCGTGTTTTGTCGTAATTCCGAATTTTGGCTTTGCATCGATATTTGTGACAAGTCTTGTGTATAAGTCTGTGGAGTCGCTTCGAGCTTTTCTCTTGCGGGTTTCTGTGGTCGTTGTAGTTGTTGCGCTGTTTGTCGATGCATTCTATCTTCGAAGCTATCGTCTACCCTAGAACAGTGTAACCATAAGTAAAAAGTCATGCATCTAAAACAAAAACTTGGGTCTTTGTGCTTGGTATCCATGCTTGCTGGCTTTTGTATCCTTGATGATCGCTGTTGTAGTTTGAACTGTAGTCGACATGCTCTCTCTCCCAAGTTGTCGTCTACTCTAGAACAATGTATCCATAAGTAAAAAGCTGCAAAACAAAAATAGAAACTTGAGCCATCGGGCTCCATATCTATTGTCATCGGGTGTCGTATCCTCGATGATCGCTGCCGTAGGTTGAACCGCAGTCTTCGTGCTTGTCTTGTCATACTTCGTTCGTAGCTAGCTGTAGATTCTTGAAGGGTGGTTCCTGGGATGTCAGTTGTGCTTTGTTGCATATACCTGGTTTCCCTAGCATAAAGTGGATGTAAGTAAGACATTCTAGAATCAAAACAAAACCTTGAGCTGTCGAGCTCAATACCCACACTTGTCATGCCCCACTTCCATTGAATGGCTGTTCTAGCCTCGTGTGTCCACTGATCTTTCATCAGGAAAATAACACTTTACTATTTTTGACTTTTTGTGACTAATGTGACTTTTTGGGAAGGAATCTACTATCATTACCCATGTCCTGCAGGCATGGCTGCACTGTTCTTGCTTATTTTGGTCTTGTTCAAACCACCTAATTCATAGCTTTTGGTAGATAACACATACATTCAAATTGATGGAGGTTCCAAAGAGATATTGTGATTTTTCTCTCAGACAGTGTGCATCACACCAATGGCTCAATATCTCTGAATTTTCAGACATTTTCTAGTCTTCTTGGCTTAGATATATCATCACTTAGTTGTCTCAATAGATTCTGTTCTCTTTTCATTCTTCAAAATGCTGTATATGGTCAAAAAAAAAGTACAGACAGTAGGTTCCTCCCCAAAAAGTCACAAATAGTCACAATAGTAACAAAAAAGTCAAAAAAAGTCACAAAAAGGTCAAAAATAGTAAAGTGTTAATTTCCTGATGCTTGTTAAGTCTTGCCATCATCACTGTTGCTGTAGTCATCACCACTGTTCTTGTTGTACTTCTGTGCAACCTTCATTCATAGTCCTTCATAGATTCTTGCATCACAATCTCCATTTGTCATAGATACTCACTTTCCTTTGTGCCTTTGGCTTGCCCTGACCACTTGCCCCATTCAATGTAGCACCATCATATCATATCATGTAGCTTCGCAATGATGGTCCCTTGTCTCTCTTCATATGCTGTTGTAGTTTCTGGTATCATGATTGTTTGGATGTCAGTTGCTCTTTGTCACATACACCTGTTTTCCCTAGAATAGTGTAGATCACCTTGTTTACAAGGTCACTCCAGCCCAAAATCAGTAACATTTTTTTGGTCTGCTGTGATGATCATATTTTGGGCCTCAGCATGGTACTCTGCAGCTCTGCCAATCTGAAGTATTGCCATGGGCAACCTTGCAACACACATGCCCCCTCATCTTGCAGTGTGAATGATGCCTGAGCCTCTTTCTGACTTCAATCTTTGAGGCAATGTGTTGATGGTGAGCAAAGCCACACCCTGTTTGGGGCTCTCACATTTCCACATCTTATTGCAGGTCACATTGTCAGCCCCCCTTATGCATGACAAGAGGGGCCCCCCCTCTGCAAGTCAGTATGTATTTGTTCTTCTCCACAGCCCACCTCATCATGAAATTCCTCCCACCATGAACAGTATTTCCCATGCAAGCCCACCATTTCACATCTGGGCATTCATCATTGGATTGTGCTCTGGCCCTCTTGCTGTTAGTGTTTGCACATGCACCAAGTGCCACATGGAAATCATTGATGTGCATAACCTCTTTCCCCCTGATCCCATGATTGACTCGACACATGTCTGTGTAGAGGATGACATCTATGTCATCCACTTTGATTGGCTGCACCATGTGGAGCACTGTGACAATGCCATGTACATATACATCTGTGTGGTGGATAACAGCTGTGCCCTCAGTACTTGTCCTGAGGATGAGATTGCAAATTTGTTGGAGGTGTTGGACATGTAAGCATCCTGCTTCAGGTTTGGATGCATAGGCTCATGTTTGGGTGGCATTGGTAAATCAAAAATGATTCAGACTGTCACTGAGAACTTTGTGCAATGAGGCATGGCAGGGATGCTAGTGAAGGCTGCTTACACAGGCATAGCAGTGTCTGTCATTGATGGCAAGACATTACACTTCATAGGTTTGTGGTGTTTTTGTCTGCACTACTATGCTCTCTGCTGTTGATGTCTTTGTCTCCTTAGGCATGGTCCTGCTCAATGGTGGTAAACAATCAGTGCAGACTCTGAAGGTGTTGGAGTTGTATTGGCAGGGTAAGCACTATCTGATCATTGATGAAATCTCCATGGTTTCCCAGGAGTTCCTTGCCAAACTTTCAAATATCATCTGTCAGGCAAGGTCAGTGTGTATGGGCATTGCATCTGAGGAGCCATTTGGCAGGTTGAATGTCATCCTTGTAGGGGATTTCCATCAGTTTCCTCCCATGGCCTCCAAAATGTCTGCACCTCTTTACTGGCCTTGCAATCTTGCAAAGGATACAGAGGATCAGGTGATCAGTCAACAGATCTTTGAACAGTTTGACATCATTATACAACTCAAGACTCAAGTGCAAGTAACTGATGCCAGATGGATGGATCTCTTGCATCATGTGCATCGCAGTAACTGTAAGGACCATCACCTGTCAATGCTGTGAGGGCTGGTGCTCTCTGACCCCCATTGTCTGGCAACTGACTTCTCACAAGCACCTTGGAGAAATGCTGTGCATATGTGTTGGAATTCAATGTGCACTCATTCTTGGTCAGGGGACCTTGGGTCTTATCTGGTCATTTGCCCTGCATGGGATTCCATAGCTGGGCATCTGCTGTCATTGCCTGAGAAATTTGCTGTGGCTACTAAACCAAAGACTGGCCACACACAAAACAGGCAGGGACATGCTGGGCTGTCTGACAAAATCAAGCTTGCCATCAGAATGGAGGTGATGGTCACCTTTAACATCTCGACCAACCTAGACATGGTGAATGGTGTGTGAGGCCATATTGTGGACATTGTCCTTGACCCCAGAGAATGTGTGCAACCTTCTCCATCACATCAGATTGTGTTGCTGTATCCACCTGCTTTTGTCCTGTTAAAAATGAAGCACACCAAGGTGGGGTCCATCCCAGGTCTGCCATCAGGAGTACTGCCCATCATGTCTCTTTCAAGAACTTTCACCATCACAATGACTTCTGGCAGCAAGTGTATGGTGACACAGATCCAACTCCCTATCATGCCTGTGTTTGCATTCACTGATTACCATGTGCAAGCACAGCCAATCAAGTACTGCATTGTTATTGTTGACATTGGTTCCCCCCCCACAGGCAAAATCACCCTGTTCAATGCCTATGTTGCTCTCTCCTGTAGCCATAGTCAGGAGAACATTCAACTGCTAAGAGACTTTGACAAATGACTATTTATGCAACACCCCTGTGAGCACTTGCACAACAAGGATTGGCAGCTGGAAAGGATGGATGGTGCAACTGAAGCTTGGTGGGATCTTATTGACACTGGCACAGATGCATATTGACAAGGCACTGTGGCTGCACAGCTTGTGTAATCTGCAGATGTATGTTATATGGGGTTGTAGCACCATGGGTGGTGTCATGGGCCTCTAATCATCTACCCATGAAGATGTGTGTTTTAGGGTGTTGTAGGGTTGAATATTGAGCTTGAGTGCAAACAGAGTAAGCAAGGTGTCTGCCATGTGAAACAACCTTATTCTAGTGTAAGTAAAACATCCAAAGATTGAATTGAAACCTTGAGCTTTTGAGCTGTGTTGGACTTGCTTCTGCACCTCTCCCCAGACCTTGTTTCACATTGGGGTTGATTGGAGTAGGCCTGGACTTGACAGTATATTTGTACTCACACTTGTATGATCTCATTTTCTGTCTTCTGAAAAACTTATGCCATTATGAGAACTCAAGCTCAATCCCAAAGAGAGGCCACTGACAACCTTGCTGCAGTGCTGGCCAATCTGTGTTGCCTTCCTTCCATTGTTGAACAATTCCAAACATTCTCTGCTCAACACCACTCTCACAGTGAAGGTGAAAGCACTTTGCAGGCCAGTCACTCTGACCTCCATCCAACAATCTTCCACACTCCATCACCTCATAATGGAGATGATGGACCTGCCCCTGACCCTGATGATCCTGGTGGTGATTCTGATGGCAGGGGCAGTGGTGATGGGGGTATCCCTGAAGACCTGGCTGAGCCACCAGAAGACCCCCTCATTGCTCTTGCTAGAGCCATTCATGCACTTGCACATTCTGGTTCATGCACTGGGGACTCTGCTCCAAAAACCAAAGTCCATAAGCCTGACACCTTCAACAGCTCCAACCCAAAGAAACTCTGTAAGTTCCTCATGCAGTGTGAGCTGAACTTCCAGGACCACCCCTGCACATTCTGCTCTGACAGGGCAAAGGTTACTTTCACTCAATCCTATCTGAAGGGTATGGCCCTGGCTTGGTTTGAGCTGGACCTGCTAAACCCCAAAAATTATGACTGTCTGCTGTGGATGGACAACTACCCTGAGTTCTTACATGAGCTCATGACTAATTTTGGTCCACATGATACCATAGCTGATGCTGTCCAGCATCTCAAGAACCTCACTATGAAGGACAGTTCTTGGATCACCAAATATGTTGTGGAGTTCAATTGTTGGGCTTCACAGGTCAAGGACTATGGTGTTGGTGCACTCTGCCACTGCTTTTATAGTGGACTTCCAGACCACATCAAGGATGAGATTGCTTGTGTTGGAAAACCTTCTACCCTTGCACAACTCCATGAACTCACCCAAACCATCAATGTGTGCTACTGGGAGAGCAAAGTAGAGGTCTCATGCACCACCAAGTCTGCCACTGACAAGTCACAGTTCTCTAACTCTGACAATAAGTCTAAGTTGTCCTCCTCCTCTTCTGCTCTGAAGTCTGATGCCAAGGGCAAGGGCAAACAGAAGATCCACCCAGGTCTGATGCATCCAAGTTTGACATTGCCCATCTCCTGGGTAAGGATGGCAAGCTCACCTCTGCTGAGTGCCAGTGTAGGATGAAGAACAATCTCTGCCTCTCCTGCAGTGAGGCTGGCCACTCCACTAAGGACTGTCCCAAGTCAACCTCTCATGCAGCCAAAGCCTGCACTGCTACAGCTGGAGCTCCACCTACTCTGCCCACAGAGGAGGCTGAGCCAAAAAATTAGTTTGCTCCTCCAGGGAGTCTGCACAGCCTGGAGGAAGCATTGACCCCAACTGTGCACAACTGGACATCCAACTCAATGTGTCTGCTCTCTCTAGTCCCAATTCTTTACTTCCATCTGTTACCCTTCTTGACTGTTCCATTGACACTATTTCTGCATTGATTGATTCTGGCTCTTCTCATTGCTTTGTAGACCCATCTCTTCTTTCCTCCATTTTTCCACCAATGACCCATCCATAA